TGCTGCCTGGCTGTGAGCAGGGGTGTGGCTGACCCTCTCCTGGGGACCCTCCAGCTGCACCACCGACCATGCTGCCCTGCAGCCGCTCAGCACAGCCGGGGCGGAGGGCTCGGGGCGGAGGCTGAGGTCCTGGGCGGGGGAACGGGTGCAAGCCCTGCACCGCACGTTGAACCCTAAGGGTGGTGTTGCGGTGCTGCTAAGGAATTCATAGCACATTTGTCAGGTCAACCTCTTTCCTTGGGGACTGTCACCCTGAGCCAAGTCTGCAGCCCTTGAGACAGAGTCTCCCTTAGTCACTACATCGCCCAGGCTGCATTCCAGTTTGCCATCCTCCTGCCTCAGCCTCCCTGAGTGCTGGGATGACAAGCCCGTGCCACCAGGCCTGCATGTCAAGCATTTTTAAGCACAAGATTCCAGAGAATCAGGTGCCTTCCCGCTGCAGTGCTGCCACCTCCCCGTCCATCTGTAGAATTTTATTCAGCTTGCAGGACGGAAACTCTGGCCCCTTCCCAGCCTCTGACAGTCATCCCCTGCTTCTATCAGTATGAATTCAACAACTCTTGACCTTGGACGAGTAGAGTCCCGTGGTGTTTACAGTGGGTTATTCACTGACGGCAATATCCTCAGTGTTCGCCCATGTTGTGCTGGATGTCACAGACTCTCCCTTTTGAAGGCTACTACTCCGTGGGGTGTGTTCACCAAATCTTGCCTCTCCGCCCGTGGGTGGATGGTCACGAGACAGATCTGCTAACTCGGTCCTAGACTCTGTGTCCAGCTTCAGGCATGGACCCACATGGGCTCGTAAAGTATGCACTCTGCAAAGCGGAAATGAAACTGGGAAAGGTAGCAACATACACATAGGTTAAGTGTAGATTTATATTGTAGTTGCTTCAATCAAAACATGTAAGAATTGCTGCTAAAATCCTATACCATTTTAATATTAACGGGGGCTTCCGTCCTAAAGGAATGTGGCAAAGCTTTCACAGGACCCGACTCTCACGAAAGAGGGTCTCACTGGTCCGGGGTGGCCAGGGCTTGTCCGTGCTCCCCAGTCCTTCCGAGATGGATCTGGATGCTGTGGAGCCTGTCGGTGTGTTACCCAGGGTGCCCTGCGGCCTGCAGTACCCAGAGAGGAGGCAGGAGTGCGCTGGGCACAACCAGGGGCGCTGCGGGGCTTTCCGGGAGCAGAGGACCCGGCCCCGTGGAGGGGAAGCGATGCAGGCGAGGTCCAAGGTAGAGGTCAGCGCAGACCCTCAGGCTCCAGGTGTGGGTGTCCATCTCCAGCCCGAGGGGACAGATGTGCCCAGTCATGGAGGTGCGGGGCCGGCAGGAGCACACAGATGATTTCCAGAAATGTGTTTCATGAGTGTGAAATGCTCCATCTGGAGAAATGTTTGCTCACTTCCTGTGTGTGTGCACACTCACGCATGCACACTGCACACACGAATCCCGCGCTCCGGGAACCCCTCTGCCTGGGCCTCACCGCCTGCAGAGCTGCGGTGTGGACTGCAGCTTCCTCCGCGTGTGCCAGCCTAGCACCCTGCCCAGCGGGTGGAGATAAAACGGTACCCCAGGGCTACTCGGATGCTCCGGAACGGGAGGTTTACCTGGGTGATGACCCTGTCTGGCCCTGCTCCTGTCGCAGAGCTGGCTGCGTACGTGCGCGGGTCAGGAGCTGCCTCCTGCCTGGCTCTGCTCACTCGCGGCCCTCAGAGCGCGCCCCTTGCTCTGGACACCTCACCCCTTGTTTGTGCGCTTTCTGCAACCCCCTGGAGTCCTCTTTCCTGAGTGTCGTTAGTGGCGCTGCCCGGGCTGCCTCGAGGTCAGGAATCGATTTAAAACGTTCCTCTTTTGTGGTCATTTTTACTTCGGGGAAGAGCAGGAATTGCACGGTGCCAGGTCCAGCGGATAAGGGGGGTGAGGACGCGGCGTCTTGTTTTTACGAGCTGCCTTTCTGTTGGATGGCGCTCGGCAGCCGCACTCACCGTATTTCTGGTCACACCTCATAAAGACCTGCCGGAAAGAGGCACCAGAGCTGCTGCAGAAAACGGCAAGAATGATGGGATGTGTCTGAAGTGAGGGGGAGGATTTTGAGGGGTGAACAGCATTGTGTCTTTTACTGTAATATTTTTAAAATTTAAGCACATTTTTTTTATCAGCCATTGTATATGTTTATTTCATAGAAATTGCTGGAGAAGCACATTCTTCTTTCTAAGAGCACTTCTGAGAAGTAACGTAGGACTAGGTTTCTAGCCCTGGGACCCACTTGAACTATGAAAGATTCCATACCTGTGTCTGTCTTGCTTTTAACTCTAAATGGGGTGATGTCTGTCCTTCCTACTGGAGACTGAATAATGTTGTGGTTAAAATTTAGGCTCTGAAGTTAAATTCCCTGGGTGGATGTGAGCTCTGCCTGTCTGTAATGTAGCAAACATGCCCCACATTTCTTAGCTGCAAACTAGGGAGGCCTGTAGTCCCAAGAGGAATACATGAATGAATAAATAGCTAACCCTTCCTAGAGTGGACTGTGTGTCGATTATGTTGTTTTTAATTTTATAAAGTGAAAGGATGGAAGTACATAAGCGGTCAGGGTATAGCACAGGTTTATAAATATTAGGGTGGAGGTGCTAATAAGTCTTTTAACAAGAAAACCGGAGAGAACCCCCTTACACTAGCAGAGGCACGTCACCCCTGTTTCGTGTGGACCGGGCGAATAAGCGTCTGAAAGCTCCTGCCTCTTCTGCCTCCCACTCGCTGATTTCCAAAGCAGCATGCTGCAGGTGGTATTGGAGAAAACATCGGAGATGTGTGCAAGCGCAGGTAGCAAAACGCACGTGAGGCCTCACCAATTAATTCTTCACCGACTCTTCCAGTCTGTTTCATGATCGGTTGCTATAATGTAGGCCTCTTTCTAAAAATGGAATTTTCCTGAACAAGTCATGTTTTGGGGCTTGTTTTTTCAAAACTCTGTCGAGCACTTTTGCTCACTGAATTACATGATTTTAAACATGTTCAACTAGTGCCAGTATAGCATTACACTGTAACTGATTGGCATTGTCTTTCACTGATGCGTAACTAGACTATTTATTTGGTTGCACTCACAATGTTCGACTATTTATACTTGCCACCCATCAGAAACCTGCCAGAATGAGCATCTCTGAGCTTCCTAGAGCACACTGTATGGGTGCTACAACCCATACAGAGGGGCTGTTTCTTTAGGACTGCCTGCAGGAGAGAAACCTCCCCGTCTGCACCTCACACCTCGGCCGGGGTGGGCAGGGGAGGGCAGAGCCCGCCCTCACCCTCGGGAGTCGCTGGGGATCCGGTTTCTGTGTCCAGACGACACTGTGTTACAGCAGGAGCTCCAGAACCCTGGCACACGGGTGTCCCCTGCAGAGCGCTTGAAGGCTGGAGGCAGCGACTGCTGATGAGGCGGTGCTCAGCCAAGTAGGACCCTTAGAGCACAGTCCGTCCTGGTGAGCAGCAGGTGCTGAGCATGGACTAGCTGCTGCTGTAGTAATAAAATACCCAGGGTCTATGTAAAATGAAGTCCTTATGTATAATTGAATATAGGTATGTACTCGTTCATATATGTTCATGGATATATACATTTATACATACGTGTGCATGTAGATGTTTATGTGCATAGAGAAATACTTATGTAATATGCAGGCTATATATAAAACAAAACCCATACAGAATGTAACATTGTTTGCCTTCCCTTACTAATCTGGAGGAAACAGAAAAATGTAAGAATCCTCATCAAGAGGGTCCCAGGTGGGAGGGCGGCAGAACTCTCCCGCGAGTGGTTGGGGTCCTGGCACCATCAGGACCCCGGTGAGGACAGGGGCAGGCTGTGGGGTGAGACGCCGGTGGCCACGTCCTTCAGCCGCTGCACAGCCTGGCCCAGGGGGTCGGTGTGTCCCTGGGGGTCCCACTGAGGACTTCCGGGCATAAGCACGGCTTGGCGAGGTCCCAGCGCACCCAGTGTCATGGGTGCAGGATTCCCAATGCCCAGAACTGGTCCTGACTGTGGAGTGGGCGGGACTGATGGGCGACCCTTGCAGAGGGTCGTGAATGGAGCCACCTCCTGGGCTGGAGAGGTCACCTCTGTGCACCAGGGAGGCCCCGCCCCCCACCTCCAGCCGGGACTTGTGGGAAATAGGATGGTCCTGTTCCACTCGGTGACCGTATTTATGGGTATTTTCTTCCAGGAGCTCCTCCTTTCATGTTTACCACTTCCTTCATTTTTCTTTTAACTGGTCTAGGTTTTGCTTTTCTAGGGAGAGTATTACCTGTCAGCATTGCAGAGTGCTGATGTGAAGTGTGCCCAAAACTACAGGGAATGTTTAAATAAAAATTCAAAGATTTACTGCAGTGAAAGACACTTTGCCCTCGGCCTGTAAATCCCACCCCACCTTTGAGCACAGCTGCTCATGGTCCTGGCCACTTTCTGAAGCAGCTCGAAGACCTCTTTCCTGAACGTCTTCAGTTCCCCTGTCGTTCCTGCCTTGATGCCCTGAAATGATTCAGAACGTTTCCCTTTCGTGGACATCTTGACCTTGGTGAATAGCCAGAGGTCTCCCATGGGGTGAGGAAGTTAGATGAGGACACAGCACCATGTTCCTACGAGCTGCCTTTCCACTGGATGGTGCTTGGTAGCAGCACTCACCATATTTCTGATCACACCTCATTAAGACCCTCAGAAAGAGGCTTCCAGAACTGCTTCAGAAAGCGGCAAGAACCGTGGGGTCAGGGTGTGTGAAGCGTGTGTGTGGGAGGAGTATTTTGAGGGGGTTAATGGCAGTGCCCCTTTTGCTGTAATAATTTTTATTTAAACAACCCTGGTGCTGTTTGATCATACCTGCTGTGCTGACTTACAAGACCGTGTGACACGAAAGGTGTTTCTGAAGAGTGACGTGAACGCTCGTGGGAGTGGGTTGTTGGGACAAGTATGAAGCAGGACGTTGTCACCCGGTGCTGCTGTGCGCCCTTCACAGGAGGAAGATGAAGGCCCGTGCTCCCCCGCCTCCTGGAAAGCCTGCCCTCCCGAGTGTCCCCACAGAGCAGAAGCCTTCCCGAGACACTGCTGTTGGCTGCCACCAGAACCTCATCCACCAGCAGGAGGCGCTGGCCAACAGCACGCTGGACATCACCGTGGTCCTGCCCGGTGGGCTGGAGAAGCACAGCGTGGTTGACGGGAGGTAAGCACCAGTGCTGGCGTCCCTGCGCCCCACGCCAAGGGCGAAGAGAGAGCTGGACACTGCACGTGGGGTGCCCCATTCTGCCACGTCAGGGCTGACCCCAGTGAAGGCCATCAGGATGTCAGTCTGGGACTTGGAGACAGCTAGAGATTACCTGAGCTGCGCCCCCAGAGGGGTGTGTGATACCTGGCTGGCCAGGCTCACCTTGTCCTTCAGGATAGAGCTCCGCTGAGCCACAGCCGGGTGATAGTCGAACCAGAAAGGGGGTGTGTACTACTTCCTGGGCTGTGTGAGAGGAAGTGGAAGGAGCACTGCTCCCCACCTCTGTCTGCCCAGATTGGCACGGTGGCCTCAAGGGATGCCACCTTGTCCCCTGTGCTCAGGAGGCCATGGCTCTCTCGGGTGGCATACCAGCGTGGCAGGGGCTGCTCTCCAGTGCGTGGAATCCTGCTTGTGGCTTCACCCTGCAGTGGGGCGCAGCCCTAGAGGACACCCAAAACCCACCCAGGCCAGCGTGGTGGGTGCCAGGCTGAGGCCAGCACCCGGGGCCTTTCCTAGGCCGTGCTGTGGACTGTGAGAACCCCTGTGTGTTTCTCTGTCTTAGAGTCCTCAGCACTGTAAGGACACCTCCCGCCCAGCCTTTCTTATGACCTAAGAAGTGTGCCATGGCAATACCAAGGTCTTAAAGTGTTCTAGAATATGCAAGAATGCCAGAAATGTTGCCAGTGAGTGTATTAGGGTCTGTTCACCATTCGTATCTGTGGGCCCAATTCCGAGTTACATATTTTTTTTAAGAAAATGTTAAGAGTAGCTCCTGTCTTAGGGTGTAATACCCAGATGACTTTTCTGGATGTGGGAGGAAAGGTGGACTGCTTATCTGGAAAGGAAAAATGATTTCTGAAGACGTGTTTGAAGGAACACATCCTTGGACTCCTTTTTCCCCTGACAAAGTGACCAGCACACAGCTTGGTGAGGTCCCCAGACCAGGAGCGCCCGTGCAGGCAGAGGGTTCGGGCAGCCTTCTCCTATCGAGAGTGAGTTAGGATCCCATCCCCAGTGGCGGCGGCAGAGCTACGGGCACAGCCGGGTCCCAGGTTCCTCGAAACGCCTGTGCTTGGGGAGTTGGTCTTATGTGTGGCGCTCCTTTACAGTACAGGAGCGGCTGAAGCCAGATTCCTAACGGTGCTGCCAGTGTTACTGTCCATGTGTTTTCTCTCTGCATAAAGTGTGATTTCCGTGAAGGGCGCACTCCCCTGTCCACAGGCCGAGCAAGCAGCACATAAAAGGCAGCCAGCCGGGCCACGGGCTCCGGACGGCAAGATTCTCGTACAGGAAATGCATTAGCAATCGGATGCTCTTCGCTGCAGGCTGCAAACTGTTGATCTTTCTTCATTTTTGAGTGTCTCTGAGCTGAGACGAGAGTGGAGGCTCTGGGCTGTTCTGAAGCAGAGGTGTGTGAGGCCCAGGCCTGTGTGACTGTGGCGGGAAGGAGGCCATGGCCCGTCGCTTCACCTGGGGGCCAGGGAAAGAGGCGCCCTGGCAGAGCCGCTGCCCTTGGGAAGTGGGTGTTGTCTGATGGAGTTGGGTGGGGTCCCCTGGACCCTGCACGGTCACGTCCACGGTGCATCCGTAGCTGAGGGGCTGGGCGCGGGGGACCCGGTGAAATCTCCCCAGAGTCCTGCGGTCCTGCTGTGGGGGCTTCATGCCCTTTGTGCAGCAGGTGCCCCACGGCCCCGGGCCTCGTCCCTGCGTGCAGGGGGGTGCTCCGCCCGGGCACAGGCGTGTGCTGCCTGCTGCCAGATGCACAGGCTGGGCGGATGGCAACCTCGGCGCTGGCCCGCCCCTGGAGGGCAGGTGACATTGGTGCAAACTCACTAGTGAGTGACGTGGAGGGTGACCGGACCGTGTCGGGGGCCCCTACAGAGAACTCTAGACTTCTGCGCGGCCTGACACAAGGCTCCGGGTTCCCTCGGGGCCGCCAAGGTGCAGGTCAGAGGCGGTCAGGGCATAGGGAGGGCGCCAGTTCTGGGCACCTTTGGGGCTGGACCTGGTGTGCCATCTCCTGCCCACCTCTGGGCCGGTGGACCGTCAGGTCTTCCTGGCCTCCCAGCCTTGGCTCATCCGCTGCCTGTGGGTCAGGGGACCCCTACACCTCTGTCACTGGGGGTGGTCGCACTGGGGCTGAGCCCAGGGCCTTCACACCCAGCCACACCCCCAATTTTAATTTTAAAACAGGCTCTCCCTAAGTCACTTACTTGCCCTGGCTGGGCTAGAACTTGTGATTTTCCTGCCTCAGCCTCCCAGAGTGCTGGGATCACAGGTGTGTGCTGTCACGCCTGGCCGCACTGCTGCCTGTAAGCGGTTTTGCAAGTCCAAGGTCTGCAGCAAGGCGGGCCCTCTCCCAAGGGCGGCCCCTTCCCTGCACCAGGCCTTGGACAGACTGCCTGGCCTACGGCGGTGCTCTGAGGTCTGCACCCTTCATCTGACTGTCACTGGGTTTGGTCAGGATCCAGGCGTCCAAAAACTGGGTTCCTGCAGATATCAACCTTGCACCAGGAGTCCGACTCTAGCTGCAGACCCCTCCCCACCCTGAGGGCTTCCTGGAGCCCCCTGCTGGTTGCATGTGTGCTGCGCGTGAGCTCCAGGCAGGGTCCTGGTCACAAACCTGGCCCTGCTGTGGGACCAGTCTCTCTCCCAGCCTGGCCCAGACTCCGTGCCACCAGCCTGTGCCTCCCCGGCAGCTCGGGGTACCTGCTGGCCTGGGACCCACAGGAAAGTTGAGGACGGGGCTGCCCTCGGGACGCGGGGAAGAGTGCCGCGTGGCACCGGCAGATCCTCCGCGGGTGTGAGCTGTGTGCGTCTGGGGTGCTCAGAGCCCCGTGAGTCTCCGAGCCGGGCCCTGGGCCTGTGCTGGGGTAGCTCTGGAGCTGGTGAGAAAGGCCGTGAGCAAGGCTTGAGCCCGGGTTGGAGCGGGCAGCCCACTCCTGCAGCCCTGCACGTCCAGTTCCCTAGTGCAGGCCCGGCCCTGCCTGTGAGGTATAAGGTCCCGCCTGACAGTGCCCGGGGCCTCGCTGGTCACTTGCGCCTGCGCACAAGGACGGGGACCGCGGGACGGGTGTGACACAGCCCAAGACGGTCAGCTGTGTCACCACTGGTGTGGCCGTTTGTGATCGTCCTCAGGGGTCTGCACACCCCAGCACAGCAGGGTGATGGAGAGCCAGGCCCGCCAGCAAGACAGCCCTTAACAGCGGGCCGGACAGATACGGGGCATGGCCTCCCAACGGCCCGTCCCCGAGCATGATCTCTGAGCAGGCTGGGACCCGACCCCGCCCCTTGGTGTCCCCTGTACCTGGGAGGGAGACGGCGGGGCACAGGCTCCTCCCCTCGGCCCAGCTCTCTGCTGGGACCTCAGTGGCAGGTGAAGGTCAGTGTGTCTCATCAAAGTCACCCCTCCCTCAAAAACTCATTTTGAGGCCTGTACGCATTTAGAAAGCAGTATTTTTCAAAGAAAGAAATACAGAAATTCTATCCACCTTTAAAATTTAAAAGAAAGGTCAACAACGAATGCCCGAAATTAAATTTCACTTCTCAATTACGAGACCTGGGGCGTTTGAGGAGCAGTGCAGTGAAGCTGGGAGAAAACAAGGTGTTGAAGATAAGCAGGAAGAGGGAGATCTGTTCCCGGGACTGTGCCCGGAGCCCTTGATCCCTTACTGCTGTCTGCTAAAGCAGGGCTTTAACCAGAGCACGGATGGAGGGACGTAGACAGACACGCACACACGCACGCACGCAGGCCCAGTTGTCCCTGCAGCCCTGACAGCAATGTCCCTACGGGATGTCACTGAGGCAGAGAGGTCCTCAGCCCTGGCCGCCCTCCTGCCTCGCCTCCCTTTCCCTGTGATGTGCAGTGCCACGCTGTCTCCACGCGTGCCTGGTGTGTGTGTGTGTGTGTGTGTGTTGTCCCGCTGTTCCCCCAGGCGTCAGGGAGAGGATCTCTGCTCCTGTCTGCTGAGAGCAGGGTGGTGTCCAGACAAACACAGACTGGTGAGGCGGAGCCAATGACGCCTTCCTGCGTCTCACCCAAACCCGGAAAGAGCAACAAACGAACCGGCCTGCTTAGCACACCTGGACGCTGGCTGCCCCGAGCCTGGCGCTGTGCTCAGCTAGCTGATGTGAGGCTCCATGGACGCGGTACCCTCGGTCTTCACCCTGGGGAAACTGAGGCACGGAGAGGCCGTCTCCACCCAGCAGGCTGCTGACCGGGCATGGAGACCACGCGTCAGAGTCACCCAGGCGCCCCGTGACGCCAGCAAGGGAGTCACTGGCCCTTTGTCCCGAGGCTTCGGGACCCTGGAGGAAACCCACAGGGCCTCCGTCCTGCCGACACTGCAGGGCTGAGCGAGGGCCTCCTGCCTCTTCCTGGGTGGCTTTTGCCAGTGGCTGCAGGGCCGTGGAAGACCTGGCCGGTGGCGGCAGCGTGGGTTCTGGCACTTTATGCGTCAGCCAGGAGCGGTGGAACCAGCACAGCGCAGGCAGCTCACGCCTGGTCCCGGGGACTGAGCTCCGCCTGAGCACAGAGTACATCTTCGGTCCTGTTTGGTTTTTCGTTCTAAATTACAAGTGAAAGTCGACTTTTAACTAACGCATCCACCATCTCTGTCCTCGAGGGGGAGCTGTGCGCCCGCCCATGAGAACAGATAGAGGTGGCGCAGGGCAACCGTGACCAGAGCCTACTCAGGTTCCCATAGAAACCGTTCCCGTAGAAACCGCTTCCGGCCTGGGGAGGGACCCAGGTCCTTCACTGCCCAGGCTGAATTAGTGCAGCTCCGTGTTGCTCCTCCACCAGATGTGCGTGGGAACCTGGGTCTGCCCTCTTCCTGTTCTCACCGTGTGCGGATGGTTTTCCTTGTTTTTGCCCTCTCCCCACTTAATAGTGAACTGGAGCAGGGAGATTAGCTGTCAAGCCTGTCATCCCAGTACTCTGGGAGGCTGAGGCAGGAGGATCACAAGTTCAAGCCCAGCCTGGCTAACTTAGCGATTTGGTGAGAGCCTGTCTCAAAACATTTTAAAAATGGAGGCTGTGGGCGAAGCTCAGTCCTCCGCACCCCAACTGGATGCCCCGAAGTCTGCTTGCTGTGCGGGTCTTTGAGGGGTCTGCCTGTCCTGCATGTGCGGGAGTGTCACACCCTGTTTTGCCCTAGTCAGCTCCTGGGGGAGGCCGAGCTGCTGCTTGCGGGGAGCTGTGTGAAACAGATCAGCCTCTGGTGTGCGTGAGCTCTGGTTCCGCCACACACCCCACCAATGACCGTGCGCCAGCGTCTGGGGTTCCTGGGGCACGGGTGTCACTCAGGGTCTTCCTGGAGAGCAGGGAGTGTGACCGCTGTCCCGGAGACAGCTGGCCACGTTGCTCTGGGTCCATCCGCATGCGGTTAGTCGCTGTCACTTGTAGCCGCTGAAAAGCAACTGCATTTGTTGAAGGGGAATGACTTGGGGATTTTGGGAGCGGCACTGGGGATTGAACCCAGGGCCTTTACACTGACTGCATCCCCAGCCCTCGTTACGTTTTTATTCTGAGACAGGGTCTTGCTAAGTCACTAAGTTGCCCAGGCTGGGCTTGAATTTATAAATTTGTAATCCCCCTGCCGCAGCTCCCAGAGTGCTGGATCACGGGCATGGGCCATCATGACAAGCTAATTTGTAGAAAATCATTTATGGATGTTGAGTTTTACTGGATGCTTTTTCTGTATCAGTCGAGACACTGAGGGAGGTTTTTATGATTCGTGCTGTTAATATGCTGTAGCACGTTGGCTAATTTGCATATGCTGAGCCATCTTTGTCTCCCGGGGCTGGAGCCCACCGGAACCTGGCAAATCTCTCTCAAGTGTGCTGCCGAGCTTGGCTTGCTACTGTTTTACTGGAGAGTTTTGCATTCGTGTTCATCGGAGATGTTGGCCAGCAGTTTTCTTTTCTTGTGCAGTCTCCTGTCTCTATGCTGGTCTCATAAGGTGTTTGGAATGTTCCCACTTCCGTTTTGTGTAAGAGCTGGAGGGCAGGGGTGTGATTCTTTGCAAACTTGGTAACATTTTCTGCCGACCCCACTTGGCTCTGGGCTTCTCTCTGCAGCGAGGGTTAAAGACCGAGTCAGTCCCCGTTCCTTTTCAGTCTGGTACTGTTTCCCATGGCTCCGCTTCCGTGGGTTGAGTGTGTCTAGAAGTTTGCTTCTTCTGGGTCGCCCGATTTGCTGGTGCGTGACTCTTCCTAACAGCGGCTGTTCCCTTCAGCTTAAAGCTTAGTCTTTCCGTGTCCTACGAATAAGACTGTAGGAAGTGTCATTCCAACATGCCGTGGGTTTAGCTGTTTTGCCAGCCGGGATGGTTTTGTTCTTTTAGCAGTGTTATTTGCTAGCTCCTAAAATGCCAGCCCAACGCGATACAGTCATGCAGAAGACATTAATGAGCTGTGGTTGTTTTTTCCATAGCACAGCTGATCTCATTCATCCACGCACTCAAGTCCTGTTCTGCGCTCACTGAGCTGGGCGGAAAGGAACGTGCGGACTCTCTAACAACCGTGATTTGCTTTCCCTCTTTCAGCCATGCAATGATGGATCTGCTGGTTGAACTCTGCCTGCAGAATCATCTGAACCCTTCCCACCACGCGCTGGAGGTCCGGTCTTCGGAAACCCAACAGCCTTTGAGTTTTAAGCCAAATACTTTGGTTGGGACCTTGAATGTGCACACTGTGTTTCTGAAAGAGAAAGTTCCAGAAGAGAAGGCGAAGCCCAGCCCCCGCAAGGTGCCTGAGGTCAGTGGGTGGCTGTGAGCCACCTGGGGATGCTGGTGGATGGGGCGTTGTGCGAGGGAGGTACAGGCAGGCAGTGGCTCCTGCAGGCTGAGCAAGCGAAGGTGTTACACTGGCTTCAGCAGAATTTTCAGAATGCTCCCATGTCTACCACTGTCCACCAGGATCTTCTGGAAGTGGGAACAGTGGTGCACAGTTCCCTTCCCAGTATGGAAACGGGAGTGGTGCACAGTTCCCTTCCCAATATGGCAGCCACTGCCGGTGGGCACTGTTCAGCACTGGAAAGGTGGCTAGGGTGAAGGAGCAATTGAGTTTTCAGTTTCACTGACTTAAAATTAATTAGCTAGTATCTGTGCTGGTAGATTCGGCAGTTAGGATTTCTTCCAGCCCCCCAAGAAGCTGTTGGGATCCAGGTAAGATTTTATCTTCTGCCTCGAGAGAGAAAGAAGAGGATTTCTTTTTGAAAAATGGGTTTCAGAAACATTTATGTGTTGCGTTTGGGGAGTGTCCAATAGCTTTATCTGAGGTTTTTTATTGGTGATGAAGACTAATTGCAGCTTCTCACTGTGCTTTCTAAGAAGGCTTTGAGGTAGAGCTTTGGGGTCCATTAAAAGAAGTAGGGCTTTACTCTCAGATGCTTGGAAGCTATGCCAAATTGTCCTGCTTTTGAAGATGAGTACTTGGCTGGCGGTTTATCTCCCATGATAGTGTTTCCGTGATTAACAGATTCTGATCGTTGCCTTGTCTGCCATGTTCAACGCAGATGTTTTTGCTCATTGTTCCAATATAATCTGTGTTTGAGGAAGAGGTTCGCTCTTCCTCCCCCCGACTTCCCTTCACTTCCTGGCCCATGCTGGGTGTGGTTCTCTCGGAGAAGCCTGGTCAGGGAGCAGGCATCCATCTTTCCTTAGACACTCTGTCGTTGTCATGGCTACCAAGTCCCACCTCCCAGGCCAGAAGGGAGCCCGTGGCCTGCCTCAGCCATTCCCGGTGCAACCTGTGGATGTTCTCTGTCGCCTCTGAATGTCAGCATCAGCTGATCAGTAATGCTGAACTCGAGGAGACGGGGTGAGGCTTTGAACACTGCAGGTTTTGGTGGCCCCTGTGTCGTAGGCACGCAGGGTCAGCCTTCGTCAAGCTGATTGCTTCTCTTTCTACTTTGTGTCTGGTATTTGAAAAAGATAATATATTTCTCACTTAAAATGTATGTGTGTAGTGTGTATATATAAATTCAAGCTGGTCATGGTGGCGTACACACCTGTAATTCCAGCTCTCTGGGAGGCTGAGGCAGGAGGATTATGAGTTCAAGCTCAGCCTGGGCAACTTACCGACTTAGCGAGACCGTCTCAACATAAAAAAATAAAAAAGGGAGAAAGATGTAGCTCATTGTGAAGATCCTAGGTTCCATTACTGGTACTGAAAAATTATCTGTGTATGTATATTCTCTGTATGTGTTTTATATATATATATAGAATACTCTGTGTATTCATGTAGATACATATGTGTAAGTACATACTTATATGGACATTCTGACGTAAAAATTTGATGTTTTGCTTTGTGAGGGTTTTCCTTAATGAAATTTTCCACATTACACCCAGACTATTTTCCTTTAGAAAGTGTCCGTAAACACCTTGAAAGAGCCTGTGTGGGGTGTTACAGTCAGAGCCCCCCCTGTGCTGAGCACCCCGCTCCTCTGACTCTGGGCCCTGGTTTTCCTCCTGCCACTGCCTTGCAGAGCTCTTGTGGGGAGAGGCCCACACCCGCCCCGCCCCATCGGCTCCTTCCTTCCGGCGGAAGCCGGGGCTCAGGGCGCTCTGCTCTGCTCTGCCTTGCAGAAGTCGGTGCGCCTGGTGGTGAACTACCTGCGGACGCAGAAGGCCGTGGTGCGCGTGAGCCCCGACGTGCCGCTGCAGAGCCTCCTGCCGCTCATCTGCGCCAAGTGCGAGGTCAGCCCGGAGCACGTGGTCCTGCTCCGCGACGGCGCTGCGGGTGAGGAGCTGGAGCTGTCCAAGTCCCTCAGCGAGCTGGGGATAAAGGAGCTGTACGCGTGGGACAACAGGAGAGGTGAGGCCCAGCGCGGCGCCGTGTACCCACCCGCCCGGGGCAGACACTGGTGCCACACACTCACTCACTCGTATGCACACACACACCGCGCTGTGCTCCCGGTGCTCTTGTCTTGCACGTGGATCTCCAGGCATCTGAGTCTGCCGGGGGTTGACGTAGGCAGGGAAGGGAGCCGGCTGTGTCCAGACGCTCCATCACGAGGACGCCTCTGTCCTCCCAGTCCCGGACGCCGCTGTTGCCTGCTGCCCCCTTGTGAGCTCTGCTAAGTAAAAGGCAAGAGAAGCTGCGAAGGAGTGAGACCTCTGCTCCGCGGCTCAGCAGCCACGCGCGGGGTTCTGTTTCTCTTCTCATTGCTCCGCACAGCTCCGGGCTCTGAAGATGCTGCTTCTCTGCAAGGCCCGTCAGACATGCCTCTCGCTCCTCCAGCGCGGGCCACCTTGCAGGCCGTAGATCAGGCCCTGGGGACAACTTCGGCGCCCCCTCGCCCCCTTGCCACTGTTGGCCCAGAGACTGACGTGGCGCAGGCAGGCACGGGCCGGCTGCGGAGCTGCACAGCTGTCAGACGGAGGGACGGTCGCGCTCCTGGACCTCGGGATTGCGCAGTGGGCCTCCTAGAAGTTTCTCCTCTAACGAGCCTCCTTCAGCATCTGTTGCCTGTTTTATTCCTTCCAAACACACGGAGTGGGGTGGATTTTCAAAATAGCTGCACACTCAAGCTTTTCTATGGCTTTTTTTCAAAATTTTTCTGATAAAATTGCCTCTTGCTTGTTACCGGTGTGTTGTGAGCTCAGTGGTCAGGGCGGAACCCCTCCTGCCCGCACCTCCTGGAGGTCAGGGCACCCCTCCCCGGCCTCGGGCCTTGGTTCCTGTTGACACTCAAGAGAGAGGGTTTAGCTCCATGGTGCAGGCGTTCCACGGACTGTTTATGGCCTCCCCAGTGCTTGTCTGACCTTCAGCAACAATGCATCCTGTGTGCTGTCCAGCGGCTTGTTTTTTACCTCCACTGCAGGGTTTGAGCCCAGGGCCTCGCCCATGCCGGCCTGCCTGGGTCATTGTGACTCAGTCCTGTCCTCAGCACCCTGCCTCACAGCCCTGGAGGCTCTGGATGCGTTTCCACCCTGTGGAACCGGGATTTGTGTGAGCCTCTGGAAACGCAGCTCTGCGTCAGGAGGACCGGTGGAAGAGGAGCCAGGGAAGCGACTCTGGACCGAGGCACACACTACATCTGCATGGAGCAGGCTGTGTCCCTCCTGTCCACAGAGAAGCTCAGCAGAGCTGCCCAAGAAGGAGCGCAGGACCTGGCCAGCCCACGGTGGCCTGCGGGGGCCACAGCCTTCCGGGTCCTGGAGGCCGAGTACAGCTCTCTCCGGCCAGCCCACCCCAACAGCGTGGCCAGTACACGAGGCTGGGAACAGCTGCTCCCAAGCACCCAGCCCCTCGGCACTGCCTCGGGCACTGTCCCTGTCCCACGGGGAGGCCAGCGGCGCCCCAGGCTGCCAGCACCCTCCTGCCTGGCGCAGGCCTGCCGGCCGCCCTTGGTCCCTGCCACGCGCCTGTGCCTCATTCTTTCACCTCCCGAGCTCCAGGAGAAACGGTGTTGCAGGAAGAAGTGTGTCCCGGGTCCCTTCCTGTTGCAGCCAACCAGGCTGAGGGACACCGGGCTGGCTGCCCCCTCTCCCGCCCTGCTGCCTGGGCCCGGGCTGGAGCCGAGGGCCGTGGCCGTGGGCAGTGCGTGCTGTGATCCTGGCAGGGGCAGCACAGAAACACAGGCTGTGCAGCGACACCAGGCCCAGCAGCGTGCAGCGCAGGGGCCTGGGGAGGCATGCAGACCCCACCCGGGGGCGGGCGGGCGGTGGCCGTGGGCCTCGGAGCGGCCCTCACTCTCCTCCTGCCTTTTCCAGCTCTGACCAAGACGCAGTCCGCGCCGTCCCTGAGCTGCCCAGGTACTGTGGGCCTGCGGCTGCTCTGCACGGGGGCGCGGGGCACGGGCGTGCGCTCTGAGCGTGGCTTGCGGCGCGCACCGCGGCAGGGCTGCTTTCTCGGTGCCGCTGTGTGAGGCCCTGCAGACGCGGAGAGGCCGAGGAGGCGGCGCGGCGGAAGGGAGGGAGGGAGCCGCCGCACAGACTCCCTTGTAGCGCTCACCTCTTGGTGCTCCCGTGGCCCCGTCCGTGGCCTGAGCTGCCCCTCAGGCTTTTCCTAGTGCACCCAGGCTGGCAGCACGGCCTCCCCTCTGCTGGAGCGGGTTCCTGGCCCCGCTCGGGCTGTGATGGGGGCCCCACCACCCCTGGACGGCTGCAAGCTACACGTCACCAGAGTATGGTGCCCTAACACGTGGGTCTGCACTGGACGGAGAGCTCCTTGGTGACTGAGGGCCACGTGCTGTCCCAGCTCAGAGACAGAAGCAGGCTCAGCTTCGCTGCAGTCTTCCCCCCACAGCTCTGCGTGTGGTGCCCGGGGGCAGCGTGCTGCGTGTGGGAAGGCTGCCCCTGTCTCAGTGTCCGTCACCCACCACTCGCAGGCACCGCACACACCCCCACGCCCGGGCACATGCGGGCACGACACACACAGCCATGCCCGGGGCACACGCAGGCACAACACACGCACCCCCATGCCCGGGCACACGCAGGCATGACACCCCCACGCCCGGGCACACGCAGGCACGACACACACGCCCATGCTCGGGGCACACGCAGGCACGACACAC